TACTGTATTAGCAGCTAAACCCGCTACTGTATTAGCAGCTAAACCCGCTACTGTATTAGCAGCTGCACCCGCTACTGTATTAGCAGCTAAACCCGCTACTGTATTAGCAGCTAAACCCGCTACTGTATTAGCAGCTACACCCGCTACTGTATTAGCAGCTGCACCCGCTACTGTATTAGCAGCTACACCCGCTACTGTATTAGCAGCTGCACCCGCTACTGTATTAGCAGCTAAACCCGCTACTGTATTAGCAGCTACACCCGCTACTGTATTAGCAGCTGCACCTGCTACTGTATTAGCAGCTGCACCTGCTACTGTATTAGCAGCTACACCCGCTACTGTATTAGCAGCTGCACCTGCTACTGTATTAGCAGCTGCACCTGCTACTGTATTAGCAGCAAAACAACAAACTGCATGCATGCAGTTTCTCTGTGACTTTAAAACATCACCTCCACCATAAAACTTTTTCTGATGCTCCAAATACAGAAAAACATCCCTTACCAGGGTTTTTGAATAAATAGTTTAAATGTTAAATAATAGTTAACATCACTTACATGCAACAGCAAATTCTCTCATTGCTACTGAACATTTTCTCCACTTATGTGGTTATGATATAAGGCTGTTGCTGTAACTGGGAAGTGAACTGTGCCGGGCCAAACTAGGAGAACATTAAGATTTTCTGAGGGAAAGAGAAAAACAATTGTCTACCTTTCAGAAGAGGAACTGGCAAAGAAACTACATGGAAAATATGTGAAAACGTTTGTTTTTAATCCCAAATTGAACAAGTTTACCTAGATCTTAAAAAGCAGCTCAGATGATGAAACTGCAACTATGATTCTGGTAAGAAGCTAACAAATTGAACTAGTTCCTCTAAGATAACCGGCTAGCAGAGCTTCTGACTGACAGTTTATGTGCAGCAGCAAATCAACTATCCTGATTAACAAGGTTATAAAAGCTCATAAATGAAAAATCACTTTGATGTGTGGGGGAACTTTTCCAGGCCCTCTTTAGCAGGGTGGGACTGGGAGGAGAGTGCTGTAGCCTTTCAGCTGGAAGCTAACCAGAGCCTGGGGCTAACGTCACCACCCGGTGGAACACTAGCGACATGAAGGTGGGTTGGCTCACCGGCACCGTCAGCCCGGTAAAAATGATTAATGACACCGAGCGGACTCACGTTCACGTTTGAAAGCAGCGCTGAATCCAGAAACATCAGCACAAAGTGCGTTCGTTGCTCTGAGCCAGAGTGACGAACAAGGGAACGGCGCCGCAAACTGTTTGGGTGTTGCTTTACAACAGGGTCTATGTAGGAGGCGAGCGTATTATGTGAAGGGACCCATCTGATTGGCCGCATATCAGAAGGGCTACATTTGATTGGTCAAATAATACTTCCACGTAAAAAACAGAGCTGGTTTACAAAAAGCTGATGTATGACACGGATGGAAATGTTTGAACCAAACATTTATCGCTGTTTTTGACGTGTTTTGCGATGGGCCTATCGCACGTCCTGTTATCGAGATGACGATAATTTTTCGATATATTGTGCAGCCCTAATACCGATATTCCAGCCTTCGGTATTGACCGATACCGATATCAGCACAAATCATACAGACTTTTACCTATTTCACAGTGTGGAATGTATGAAAGGCTCGATCAAGTGATATTATTCAATTGGAGAACAAGAGCCAGCAACAGTAAGAATGAAAAAAAATATATATTTTTTTAAAGTCCAACTCTTTGTCAATGTAAACCTTAAACATAATGTATAACAAATGAATACAAATAAATAATAAATTAAAAGACTGAAAAATATTTTAAGTAAACAAATAAACAAAGATATCTGTTTAAAGTACAAAATACTAATTCAAGTTCACTTCAGTTATGTTTTACTGTCAGCAAATGGTAGAAACAGCCAAGTGCAGGGAGATAAGAAAAAATAAGTCCAAAAAAAAGTTGGCCATTCACCAACTGCTCCAAGTTGTGTGCCCAAAGTATCAATTTCACACACTGCAAAGTTACTTGTGCGGTGTTTTGTGAGGCTGCTTCAAACGCACAATGAGGTTGGACATATTTATCTTTCCTGGTTCTGTTCCACCTTGGGAAACTTGTGCATGGCAAGTGTTGACGCTGCGGCATAGAATTGCTGGAATGAAATTTCAAGCGGAACAAACTGCTTTTATCAGAGATTTTTGATGCAGTCTGATATAATCCGATAGTGTTTTTGGGCCGATATCAAATTACTTCTGATATCGATATTGGAACAGGACATCCATATTTGGCTCGCGACTGGGGAAGGCTTTTGTTGGTTTAGCATCTAGGAGAGCATGTCTCAGATAGAAGAAGCTAACTGTTACCATCAGCAACTCCACAACATGGCAGAACTCCTCAAGGATTGTGTTATTTGTGGAGAAAAGCATCAATGTTGCAGAGCTAACAGAGCTAGCTGGGTTTAGTGGTAGAGTTGCAGTGCTGTAAGTCAATCTGAGGCGAAATGTCCGAATATCAGAAATAATACTCCAACTCCTGCTATTTTCTGCTCTCCTCTCCAATGACTAACTTATACTTCCTGAAACAGGTGCACCATAGCATTTTTCCCCACTGAGGTCAACTCACAAGGATGTCTTGGGAAAACAAAGAGACCTTGACTTTTAATGAGTATGGGCTTGTCAGAGTATTGCTGACTGATGACCTAGGAGGGAAAATCATATGGTTGTCTAACAAAACCTGTAAAGCTGACATGTTATACTGGACATAAGCCTCTTCTTCACAAGTTTACTCAATTTCCTGAAGTCCTACTAATGTGTGGCATGCTTTGTTTAGAATACAATGGCATTACAGCACAAAAGTCCTTTCATGTGGCCTGTTTTTTTTAAGGTATTTTCCTTTGTAGCTGATTTTATACAGTAATGTGAGAAACTTCCCTCTCCCCCCTCTCTTTCAAGGGGGTGCTTAAAAGAACTTTGTTTAAGTTTCACAAGAGTACTGATGCTCATTTCATAATTGGCAGCAAAAAGCTATATAGAGTATCACTGACTCACTGGTTGGGGTAGCGGTGAGAATAAAGGACAGTGAAACAATCAAATAACTCACAAAGCCTTGGACACCCGATAAGGGAAGAAATAAGCACAGGTAATAAAAACTGTAATATTATATGGACATATGGGTGGGAAGAGTAAACGATATAAGAGGAGCTGCTCAGTCCACCATTGAACGGCCTACAGTATGTTTCATTTCTCCAGAACTGTATTTCTGTTGCAGACTATTAATAATCAGTTCTTTGATGTTTTTCAGTTGTTTCAATATTTTGGAATATTTTTATGTCATTGTTCAGGCCTACATTTAGAAATGCTTTTAGAGGTTTTTAAGTGTGCTGCAGTGTAATATTTCAAAAATAATTACTGTCAGTGCGTTAACACACATATTTAAGTTGATCTAAAGTAATAAACTGGGAGCATTTATCCTAGTTTACATGTATGCTAGAAAACCAAACTCAAATGAAGTTTGTTGCACTCCGGTACAGTAGGTGACAATTTGTGCCCTTTCATGTCTGCATTCCTCCGGTTAGCTTATAGGGAGCCTAAGTTACGCCCATCTACTTCATACAACATGGGTTCTCAGAAGAATGAAAAAATGAATGCTAGTCAATGGGGCTGTAAAATCTACTTTCTAATCCCGCTTGTTGTGTGCCATGGATTTCACATATGATGTCCGTGAATTTTAAACACACATTCTGATGCCAAGTAAGTTGTTTTAGGTTGGTGTGAAAATACGTCCAGGACTACGGAAGTGTATCACCAAATTGATGTCATCGAACCAGACATGGAGAAGAGCAGAGAGAAAAATGGCTGTCAGTTTAGCAAACTTTGAATCCTTCTGTCAGGAGGAATGTACCACCATAAATCTGACCTTGTGGTAGGTAGCAGCTAGTCTGGGGGAGAGGTTCTGTGGTGATGTCATATGCGGCGTGCCAACGTCTGATTTGTAGTTACAGTAATTACACATTTTTACAAGCTGATAAATCTCAAACAAATCTGAAACACGCATTACTTTTCATTTAAATTGAAGTGCAACGTATGTGTCATTCTGGGCGTAAGACAAAGCAGATTAGAAAATCGCTCTTTTAGCCCCATTCACTTGCATTTATTTTATTCTTGCGGGAACCCGTGAGCCCACCAGAGAGGGAGGAGACTTACACCGGTTTCAAACCTGTTCACACCAGGAGAGTCTTGGCCGTGGCACGGCTTCCTTACTGTGCTCTTCGCTGGACTCCTGAGATGCCTAAATCCCTCAAGACTTCCGCCATCCTCCTCGCTTGACTCGCGAGATCACACGATCCCTCGAAACTTCAAAGGCCACGTTTGTGTATGCAATCCGCCTTTAAACCAAAAAGAAGGAAATCACATTTGATATTGCTGTTTGATGTGTTATATGGTGTTGTTCCTCTCCACTGCCAGGATTAAAGTCATGAAAAACACACCGCTGCGCTTCTGGAACGATACTGGGAGTAAATGAGCCATTGGGTCACACGTAAGCTACATACATAAATGAAATTGCATCGCTGCAGTACTTTTATTTTGAAAATTACCAGGGATTTTACTCTGAAACCGTGTGTTGTTTCCTGTCTAGCCCTATGTTAACTGCAGAAATTGATGTGTCCCAGAAGCGGCTTGTGGCAAGAAATAGAACCTGATACAATCTTTTGCGGGACGGCGCGGGGTACCGCTTCTGGGACGCGCCTGACATTTGCCACATCTCAGCTGCTTTGAAACACTCCATAGACTATAATGGATTCTATTAGAAGCAGTGATGTTCCGCTGCCGTTCCGTGCCGCTGATGCAAACTGGTTGATAAAAATTTCAGCGAGGCCACAAAAGACAACAGGTTTTGTGGCGTCGCACTAATACAAATGCAGTGTCATTTTCAACGTTATGCACAGAGTACATTGCAGAGTTAAATTTAAAAAACTCTGACTTAAGTAGCGCTTGTCTCATAGCGTGGCTTCAGCCTCCAGAAAGATGGCACAATGTAGCTTCATGCTATAGAAAGTTATCATTTAAAAGTTAAAGTGACTTGTAAAAACAGATTATGATGGGATTGTTTTGCCCTGTCTGTCAAAATGACAAATGTCTAATGTAACTTCTGGATTACATTTTGGCAAATGAGCCATGTTGGAAGGCAAACACCATTTCTTCAAACAGAGGCTGTTCAGGAATTGAAGTAAGAGTGGAATATTTCATCACTTTTGCTCAGAAACACTTGCCTGAATAATCGCATCGAAAGCACCATATTAGAGCTAATGTGTTTCACTTTGTGTCAACTGAATTATTTTTAAATGAAAAAGACTTCAGTGAAAATATAAAACAGTTGTATTTAATGTACTAGCTAGACCTTTTCTCCTGATCAGTGTGGGGTATTGTATATGGTGCGTGTGGCTGTATACTGTAATGTCATTGGTGTAAAACTGTTCATGAAGAGCAACACATCTATATTTTGAAGGGAACTGTGTCAGTGAGACGTTTTAGTGCTTTGACCACATCGTAAACGAATATCTATCCACAGATAGAACTACATGCCAGTAAAATCACCTAATTGGGGTGACTTGTACATTTATTCTCCTCAGCAGCAGCTGATGACATGTCATCAATCATCGCTGCTGTGCCGTGATATTTTTAGATGGGAAGGGAATGAATGAGGTTATGATTGTGGTCTCAGCCGTCGATGTAGTCAGAGAGAGGGCTGTCCGTGCCCCTCCCTCGGCTGTAGGTGATGTCTGAAGCCGGTAGCCCAGCCTCTCCGAACATCTCCCCGCTCCCCTCTGTCCGTGAGGCTGCCCGGCAGCTGCGAACAGCCGCGCTCTGCCTCTCTCTCGTCCGCTTTGAGAATCCGTTGGCCTGAGCGCCGCTCCGTGTGCGGGAAGAGGCGAGAAACACCGGCAGGTGTTGACTAGCTGGGCCAAATCGCGGTGCAGACTGATGACGATGATGATGGTGAGGATGATGCATCTCTTCCCGTGACTTTATGAATTGCATCTCGGGCTGTTGTGAAGAAGCGCAGGGACATCTCCCCCCGACATCCTGGGCATCGGTTCGGCTGGATTTCTCGGGGCTTTTCTGAAGCCAGACGTGGGATCTGAAACCAAGCCGTAGCAGAGAGCTCTTCTCAGCAGCGGCCCGCAACACTGCGCCATGGCCTTGGATGTCCAGACGTGCGCGGTGTTTACGGTGATCGCGGTTCTGGTGCTTGTGAACGTGCTGTTGATGTTCATCCTCGGTACTCGTTAATGGATCTGCGCTTGGGGCCCGGTTCGCAGCGCACCACGCTCTCGTACAGGAGAGGAGAGAAAAGCGGTGCGCGTTGGTCGAGAGCGGGGACACCCGGCGCTCCATCACGGCTACGCGTTGCAATGAATGACGTTGGTACAACCTAATGTATTTCTGTTTCCCCTCCCCAATCCTCCGTTATGTCTTGTGTCCTCTCGCCTTTGTGGTAGCAAGTGTTGTCTGGTGGTGGCTGTAGCTGTGCGGATACAGATCTGTGACCCTCTGTGGTGGCTGGAGATTCATATTCCTCCCACACAGCCTCAAACATGTCCCCCCAACGCCGATCTCCTTCTCCCCCATGTTGTCTGTTGTGGATTACCAGTAATGATGAATTTTGTATTCTGTAATAATTTGATTTTCGGGGAATAAAAATGGACCAGATTTCCTTTCTAATCTCATTCTCCTGCTGCGTCAGGACTCATTTTTCCCTATTCTGAGCCACTGTAGCCACATTCACAATATGGCAGCTGATAGCAGTGCAGGGATCTCTGTACAGAAGTTAAGGTGGTATTTGTAGCAAATAGCGTTGGAACCGAGAGACCTGCACTTCCCTTTATAGACCCCGGAGGATCATTGTGATCTCAGCTGAACACTAACCGACAGCAGGCAGGACCAGGCCTAATAAAGGAGGGCCTCCATCTCTCCAGGTTTCCCCCATTTTAGATTCTGCTAAACTCAGCTCCCATTTCACAGTCCCTAATATCTCCATCTCTGCATATTGCACAGTGTCAACATGACACTCATTTGTATCCTGGTAATTGTTATTATTATCAGAAATGTGTAATCATAAATGAATATTTATTCCAGACCTCATGTCTTTTAAGTGAAAAGGCTTGTCAGTTCCCTCAAAGAAACCTGTGTTTCCTGGTCCTGCAGCCTAATGTGTAATAGAAGGATCAGAGCCAGGTGTCATGAATGTTGTATGAAGCTCAGAAATAGATACGCTAAAAGCCTGTCCTGGAGCCATCCATGGCAGTCCTATTTATAGCGATAGACAGACTGGGTTTTTTAAGATGCTTTATGCACTCTCTCACACTCAAATCTAGGTGCTCTGTCTTTTCTGTGTGTAGTCAAGTGGTAAATCTCGTACTTATAGAATGTCATTTTGGTATCACGGATACCTCCATCACATGCTAATGTGGGTTGGTGTCTGTAAAAATTCTTATATATCATAGTGTCACAAGATCAGTGCTCACTGCAGTGGTTGTGGCTGATAGCAGTGTGTTGTTCACATATGTCAGGTAGAGTGAGAGCGATGGTCCTCAGTGGGTGCTATCTTCTTTAAGTCTCAGTCCTCCACACATCTGTCATTCCTCCAGGGCAGGTACCTTCTAACAGCGTTCTGTTCTAAGCTGTTCAGGCAGATGTGTCGATGTGCAGATGGTGAATGTATGTGAGTGAGACAACAGCGGTGTGTGTGAGGGTGTGTGTTTCTCACCGGTTCTGAACAGAGCATCTTTGATTGGCTCCCAGACTCGGGGTATAAATGTATTACATAAGAGGGCTGGCAGACACGGGGAGGACAGACCGCGAGACTCACTCGGTGCGTCGGAAAAAGAAACCTCTCTTTCTGGGAGACGGCGTCTCACGCAGCTCACGCAGAGGAACGCCACCTCCACAACTCCCAACCAGGATTCCATTATGATGATTGTATGAGCTGGACCTCTCCATGAATACAGTCTCTGTTCAGTTACATGCCACAGACATGGTAAGGCTGGTGTAAGCTGTGCGAGTGTGTTTGTTCAGGAGTGCTATAAGTGCTGTGGTGCAGCTGTGCTGTGGCTGTAGAGACAGGAGGATGCTGGAATGCAGTGGGTCTGCCAGTGCAGTGAATGCTGATGTGTTGTGCTGCAAAGATGATACAAGCAAGTGAATCAGCTTTCTATTCTTACATTTTTACTTGTCAGCCTCCAGGTTTGTGCTTGAAGATTAAACAGAGCTTTGACACATAGATCTATGTACCGCAGTAGTTTTTTCTGCATTTATTTGCATTGACCCAAATAGAGCTCTGCAGCTTAAATGCTGATTTTCAGCTTCCAGTCTTTGATGTTGCAACTGCAGAATAACTCTAACGATGCAAGTTGGTGAACAAACTGGTCAATTTGATCTGAAACAGCGTTCTTTGCTCACTGTTTGCCCTTTGATTAAGCTAGGCATGGGGGTGTTCTTAGGGAGGATTGGGGAAGATTGATTATGTAATGATTTTAATTTATTCAGACATGTGAAGGAAAGAGGGGATGCAGTGTATTGGAAGAAGCAGTACTGGTTTCAGTTGGGAGATGAAGGGATGAAGCAAAGGAGAACACTAATGGCTGTGACTGCTTCTCCTCGCTTGTACATTTTCTGTGCTACAGTCAACTGGTAGAGACCAGAGAGAGCGGGCCTGTTCTGAATGGGGTTAAAAATGGAGTGGACCAAGCAAACAGACTCAAAGTACCATTTTTCATCATGCTTGGCTTGTTTCAGGGGTCCTAGGTTCAGAGGGAAGTCATTTAACTTCCTCTAGCTGTTACTATTTTATGTTTTTACCAAAGGTTATTTAAATTATATTACCTCTCCAGCCACAGTTTTGAAATGTTTTTCAGCATCTGCCTTGTTTCCATGACAGCATGACACATGTTTTTGCAGTAGTCCTCCTCTACTACTGTAACAGAGACACAATCTGCAGCTATTGTTACCCTTAGCTCTGACTTCAAAGTGACCCTTGATAAAATAAGGACTGCTCTGGGTCTTGGATGCAGAGATTACCTACCTCTGCAGTTAGATACAACAGGTTTGCCACTGTGAAGTAGCACAGTAGCACGACACTTGTTGTGGCTGCTCACGCACGCCCAAATTTGGAAATATTCTGGCGCATCCTGAAGTGTCCTTGCCTCATCCCATCTTCTTGTCAATACCAGTGAAGCATCCTCATCTGTCACCATGACGACGGCTGTTCCTTCTCTCCTGAGTGTGGACGTCCCTCCTCGTGTTCACTCCTTTGCCATGATTGGCTTATATCCCACTGTAGCTGCCTCAGCGAGGCATCATGGAAGCTGGCTGGTGTACAGGTTGGAGGGCCATTGTAAGCTGCTGAGTCTGAGAGCTTGGATCGTGGTGGGGCATCGGGATGAGCACAAGCAAACATGCACACCCTCACAATCTGCTGTTTATACATACGTTCGTAAGAATTCAGATCTGTGAGGTTTTGTGGCTCTTTATATGAAATACATATAAAATTGAAAATGGAAAGAAATAAAACTGGTTTTCTTACTAAAATAATACATTGAATACAGAGACCTCAATAGAAAGAACACGGCTAATTCCGTGCCCATTCGTGTGACATCCTTGTCTCCGGGCCTTTGATAGCTCCTTACCTAGAGCTTAAGCATCGCCTGTCAGGCTCGGTTAGCCCTGGCTGCTCTGCCCACAGCCCAAGGGAATGAATGCATGGTTAGCTCTGGACTGCAGAATGCTGACGAAAACTCCTGTGTGGAGAACAGTTTCAGGAAATATGCCACAGATGCACAGACAACGTTAATTTATACGAAAATAAAAGTGTGGCCGCTCGTGTGTGTGTGTATTCATGAGTTCCGTAGCTGTCAGGCTACAAGATAAGTCGTCCACGTGATGGATGGCGGAGCTGGAGATTGATGATGTCAGACTCTGGTCTTGTCTCTGGAACATTGTCTGCTGTCTCGTGTTCTTTAATGAGAACAACCTTTAGCTTCTGCAGGTCCCCTAAAGAATACTCATCACCCTACTGGCTTCACTTCTATTACTCCATCTGAGTCATGCAGATCATAAAGTTCTCTGAACGTGTTCACTCAGCTGTACAATCTAAATGTTTATTTGCAATGTTCTGAAATGTCCTCATTATTTATTCATGATTTTGTAATCAATAGATTAGGTTTGATGAGTCATCTGGCCATGTTTGGTTGAAGACTGCTCTGCAGATTCGACAACAAGCAGCCCTAGTTAGCGCATAAAGGAGGAGACGTTATCCTTCACATGTGTTTGCTTCGCGGCGTTTAAATTACATTATCACTTGTAATTATTATAATGTCATAATGAGCCAGTTACATCCCTATGTAGGGACTCGTACGGCACCTCTGAACACTCCGCTGTTTCTCCACCAATGGTTCTGCCTTTTGTGTTGTTTTTGTTTTGTTGTACTGTGGACTGTGTTGGCTGTTGGTTGTTAAATTTGCATTGCTGGCCCTAAACTGCCCGTGGACTCTGGCTTTGAGGGTGTGTATTTGCATCAATTAGTAATCTGAGTGGGTTTAACAACAAGGATTCAAATGAATTGAAGCCAAAATGGGAGCATGTTACTGTAACAAAATAAGATTAGCTTGATAAATGTCTAAATGTTGACTGTTCACTCCGGTTCCATTGTTCCATTTGCACAGCTGTGACTCCTCGTAATCAGAATAAACAAAAGAAATACCCTGTCTCTCCCTCCAATTTTCTCAGTTGATAAGTGGAGGTTCGGTTGTCAACGCCGAGGCAGTGTGGGACCATGTGACCATGGCAGATCGAGAGCTGGCGTTTAAGGCCGGCGATGTCATCAAGGTGCTGGATGCCTCCAATAAAGACTGGTGGTGGGGCCAGATAGATGAGGAGGAAGGATGGTTCCCTGCCAGCTTTGTACGGGTGAGTTAGGTGCAGCCACGACAGACCGACAACCTTAAACACAACACAAATGTTAGCACTTAATGTGGAAGGCACACACACACAATTAAACTGAAAATAAACAAACTGTTATGTGATCAGAGTTTTAAAATGCCTGCTTTGAAGGACGCCTAACAGCTTAATTTCTTTGTTTGGTTTTCACAAATAATAAAAAAGACAATAATTATTCTCTACATTTAGTTTGGGATCAACTTCTACCTTCAACCTAATGGACTGGACTGGATTATTACACGCAAAACGTGTTCACCTTACAGCCACAGCATTTTGACCACTTACAATCAGTGACGTTTCTTCATGTTCTGGTGTCAGAACTTCAATCCTGCCATTCTTTTTGTTGTTATTTGAATACTTGTCATCCATCTTGAAATTTAATCTAAAAAGTGCAGTACCTAAAGTTTTACTTCTATTAGAATATTTTAAACACCCCTTTAAATCCAAACGGAGGTCTTTTTCAGCTAAACAACACGGCAGAGAGCCTGCTTTAAGACTGAGCCTGACTGGAACTTAATGGCGCTTTCACATCTGGGTTGGCCTGGCCCAGCCCTGGTAGGCTCATTGTGTTTGCATCTGGGTATTCTGTGTGTTTTCCGTGTTCGGCTGACCGTTTTATTTATTTATTTTTTTGGGACCCGCTCTCTGGCAATCGGCTTGTTGCGGAGCTGACCCAACACACCTTCTACCGACTGAATGTAATGCCTACTTATAGAGGGAGCCTCTGATTGGTGGGTAGAATTAGACGGTGGCGGCTTCCGGTATGTGCGATTAATTAACAGTCTGGTTGCAGTGAGTAAACATCTTCTTACTGCAGCTCAGAGCCACCGCTCCAGCCGCGGCAGCATTAGGACAGACTGCTGTGAGGAGCACACAGCAGTCTCAGTGGGAGAGAGAGTAGGAAGCAGTGTGCTTCATATCAGAGTATCCAAAAGCAACACTGCTCACTGCCGCCTTTGTTTACTAACTTAAGGAGGAAACCACAGACGTCTCCACCCCTCTTTTGCCCCACCCATATGCTCCACGTTTCTGAGAAGGCTGTGTGAACCCCAGATATCATGGTGTGATCAAAACCTGGCCACACAGGGCCGGGCCGGGCCAGATGTGAAAACGCCTTAAGACCATGAACTTTTGAGTTTTAAATTTCTCTAAATGTTTATCAGGTGTTCTCAGTTTTATTTAGTGCGTCACAAGGCCTCACTCTTGTCTGAAACCTTTCTTGATTTGTTTTCACAAAGAAGGTGTGAGGCCATTTTTTAGGGATTTGGTGACCAAATTACAAATAAAATGAGTGTAAACTGTGAACAAATTGGTAAAGTTTTGTAAAGTTAAATTAGTCAAGTTAGCCCAGGCTTTGCTAATTGTGTGTAACTACATTGTGCCCAGTGGGGCCTGGCATCGTATCAGAATTCTCACAAAAATGTTGTACACATGAGTGCAAATAGAAATCTGTAGGATTTTCATCAATCCGGCCTGTCCTAGCTTCTGAAGTCAAGCCAGAGCTGCCTGAGTGGCACC